CAGTTTAGTTCTAAAATTCAGTTCTTTCAAGATATACATGAATTTAGTCAAACAATTTAGAACTTTCAATTAACTTTGACAATTCCACATATATATATGTCAATAGGACTTCAAAACTGACATTCTGAAAAGAAATTCATTGTTTTCTACTCCAAATCACTTCATCTAGGGTTCCCTGTCTCAGTAAATGACAAGATCACCAATCCAATTCTGAGAAAGAAAGAAAGAAGAAAGAGAAAGAAAGAAAGAAAGGAAGAAAGAAAGAAAGAGAGAAAGAAGGAGGGAGGAAAGGAAGGAGGAAGGAACTCGGGGTCTGTCCTCAAACTCTTCCTCTCTCTCACCCTCCACTCATCCTCTCTAGGTTCTGACAATTCCTTAAGTCTTGAACTTGTCCATCGTGTTCTATCTATAGGCTCCTTCTTCTCCAATATGCCCTGATCTCTCCCTTGACTTACCATAACATTAGTCTCTTTGACTAGTCTCTTTATATTCCTTTTTGTGCCTTTTAATCTATTCTCTTCATTAGAACCAGAATGATTTTTAATTAAAAAATATTATATCAAGGCTTGCCTTAAATCCACATAATGGCTGCCTATTGTTATCACAATAAGAGCTCTCTTGACCTGGGCCCTGCCTTCCCTATGTTACACTACCCTAATACTCTGTACTTTGTTCATCACTCTGCCATCTTCTTGCAGCTTTCAGGGCCCCACACAGGGTCCTCTCCACCCACTTCCTGGGATACATCCCTACCCCCTTCCTTACTGCTTGCACTTACCAAGTATTTGATGTTTGGTAGGCATATGTGAATGTTTGTTGATTAAGGTAGTAAATTAATGAGGAGTGAATGAAGAGGATGATTGTCCCCTTAAAAACATGAGACCACTCATATTTTGAAGGTTATAGAACTCATAAACCCGTGATAGAGCTATCTCTGGAAATGGGGGTGGAGGGGGGTTGACGACTTCCCATTGTGTGCACATTTTCATTTTCTAAATTTCTTTTCTCTTTTTCTAAAAGTATTTTCCCCTTTTCTATTTTCTCTTTTTTTATTCTTTTTTTGTATTTCTCTTTTTCTCTATTTAGTATGATTTCAAACCAAAGCCATTTGAATTTCAATTAATGTTAACAGAATGGTGAGCATTCGAGTGTTTCCAGAAAGCCAACAAAAGCTTCCTCCATACATGTAAAAACTTTAATGTCATACACCTCATTTAAAATATTCAACAAGTCTCCTAAAGAATATGTGAGCCGGGGCACCTGGGTGGGTCAGTTGGTTCAGCATCCAACTCTTGATTTCGGCTCAGGTCATGATCACAGGGTTCTTGGGATCAAGCTGTGCATTGTGCTCTGCATTGAAAATGCCAACCGTGTTTGGGATTCTCTCTTCCTCTCTGTCTGACCCTCCCCCACCTTCTCTCTCTCTCTCTCTCTCTTTCTTTCAAAATGAATAAATAAACATTTATAAAAAAGAATATGTGAAATCTGTTCATATATTCTTTTTTATAATTAAAAGAATAAGAATAAATTTTGGCAAGCATATGCTATTCAGAGCTATACCTGAAGCATTCTAATGTACTTACACCAGTAGAAAAGTAGTTTTATGAGTAAATTGACTACAGTATTTATAAAGCCATACTGCTGAACTCATTTGTAACTTTTGGAGTTAAAAGGAAGCAATCATATTTGATTCTTTTAAATTTATATATATATATATATATATATATATATATATATATATATATATATATATATATATATATACACACACATATACTTATATATGTATACACACACACACACACATACATATATGTATTTTCTTTTAGAGCTGGTTTAAGTTACAGACTCCATCCTTTTTCATGACCCTTAAAATACTACATTAGCTAAATGTTCACACTTGTCCTTTTTAGCTTTAAAAGAAATGTCACATCCTAGGTTTCTGTAAATGACCCACATTCAGATGTGAACCAAACATAATAGCTTCTGCCATTCACCAGGCAATGAATTGCTTCAAATGTAGGACACAGGGCAGAGGACTTTGTAAATTACTTTGTTTCATTGGCCATCATCAGAACCTGTGGCATAATATGTGACCTATTTCTATAAACAATAATGCCTAAGGCTTTATGGACAGGTGGAATACCGTTTCTCTTTTAATTACATTTTGAAGAAATAATTTAAAAATGTAAAATTTTCAGACACTTTGAATAGTTGTATTGTTAAAAGAAATCCGAATTTGTAACCATCATCATGTAATGATATAGACTATCATAAAATATTAGCTTTTTATTAAAGAGTAACTCAAACCTATAAAAATTGCTAAAATAATACAATGAACTTTCATATTCTTTTTCTAATTGTACTACTTAAAATTTTTCCTTGTTTGTTTTTCCTTTTCTCTTCTCTCATCTACTATGATTTAGTATCTTCAATTTTATATAATTCAACCTGATTTTTATACACACATGCCTACAATGGCAGAAAATGCATGGAACTAAATGTGCATCTGTGTGTGCGTGTGCGTGTGCGTGTGCGTGCGTGTGTGTGTGTGTGTGTGTTATTTCTGACCCATTTGAGAATACCAAACTTTCATAATTAAACATGATCCTGGAAAATTTAAACTCCATATTTCATTGACTGTCTCCAATGTTGTTTATACAGAGAAATTAGTCTGTTGCTCTCTCTCATCAATGTCTCCCAATGCCTAGTTTATTTATGCAATTGAAACTGTTTAGACATTGAATGTCTTTATAGAAATTTACTTAACATTTACTTGGACTCTTTAACTTTCTAAAAAGAACTGGAGAAGTGAAAGTTTGAGATATGCACCACTTTTGATCAGTACGGCCTGTGTAAATATCCAAATGGATAAAATAACTCACTTTTGGGTAAATGTTATATCACTTGACTGATTATATTATCAAATGAATTATATAATATTCAACACTCCCTTTATTTTAAAATTTTTGCACATATAACTACAGACTATTTTTTTTCCCTTTTTTTGTGAGAACTTGCTCTACAGACCTGGAAGCTATGCTAAACACTAGTAATGGTTGGTAAGTTGACTCATTCACAACCCATCACAAAGCTTTTTCACTGGAAAATGCCACTCAACATAGCAAGTAAAAAATGTAAAACTAAAACGCGATTAATCTTCGTACAGCTTTCCACACTCGAATGTGCCATTTTGTTCTCTGTTCAAACATTTGTGTACCATCCTGTAGATCCCTGCTTGGATGTTTACATAATTATTCTTTCACACAGAATGAAGGAGATATAAAGACGACAGACATTTTCTGGGCAAAAGGAACAGAAGTTAGCAGAAACAGGACTGTGATTCCTAATTAATTCAAAGTTAATTGCGTTGTTGATAATCTTGCACTTAAAATCTTCATATAGAAAATGTTTATGGAAGCAAATTGACAGTAATTTAAGTACATTAAATCTTCCTACCATTAAAAGAAAAAGATGAATGTTACATTAAGCAAGCTTAAGAGAATGGTAAAGACTAGTTCTTGTTTAACAAGACAACTAGCAAATCATTCAAATGGCCAACCTAGAATCTCAAGGCACAATAAGAGTAGTAGTTGAATTTCAAGATGGTGCCAAGCCATATGGCCTGTCTTGGGCCATCAGTGACACTGGCTGGCAGTTTTGCTTTTATTGCCACTCTGTAATGAGCGCAAAATAGGGGGAAAATAAAAGACACATAGATCTTATTTGGCAGGTAGGGTCAACAAATCTATTTTTACTATTTTGGAAAGAATCAAGATAGAGTTCGTTAAATGAAGATACGCATTGTATTGGTTACTTTCACTGAAGAGTCAGATGGTGGAATGAAATGAACCTTGGCATTAGCTCTGGGTTTAAATGCTGTCTTTGTTACTTATAAACAGCAAGACTATTTTTTTTTATTTTAGTGTTATATTATGTAAAAGACAGGATTAAAGGAAGGCTAGATAAAAATAATGGATGTGAAAGGCCACCATTATAATGGGAACTCAATAAATTTTAGTTTTAATCATCTATCCTATTTAAACCAAATAGAATTATCCTGATCATTGAAATTAAATACTTACAGATCTCTACTTTGTACAGAAAGGCATTTCCATGTAATGCTTAACTATCTTGGGACTCTAATTCATAACTTGGGCATTTTGTAATAACTTTCCAAATGGGTAGTTTATTGATACTGTGATGCTATTAAAGTAAACATACTGCTCAATCAGGAATAGAATACATATTTTCTCTTTTCAGAACTTAAGCATATTTAGTGGAAAAATGTTATAAGCATTGGCCTAATTGGTATTTATAATACTCACCTCAAATACACCTTACTAAAGAAGTATTAATGTTTTTCAGTAAGATACTTTGTTGTTACTTTACTAGTGTCACAAGAAGCACAGTGCATTTCTAAATTAATATCTGGAGCTGTTTGGGGAAGTTGGAGACAATTAAGTAAACAGTTTATCTGTTTAGGTGCCTCACTAAAGCTATCCATTTATCATTCATGTTGGAAAACAACCAATTCAGCGAAACCTCTGTGCCAATGGAGCTGGTCCAGTGGGGTTTCTACCAAAGGGGGACTCAAACCAACTCAGTGAGAAAGAAAGAAATCCAAATTTAAGTTTCCTTTGCCAAATCCCTCACGTTCGAATTAATGTGGATATCCATAATACAAATTAATGGCTAAATATTTCTTAATTTTCTACAGCCTATTGCTTAGGCATCAAAAATCAGAAATAGTAGGCTTATAGGAGATAATGGCAAAAAAAACAACAACAACCCAGATTATTCTTTGATGTTTAGTGGAGGAAATTATTAAATTATTTCTGGACTCTTAGTCAAATAATTTCTGAAAAATAAATGGGAATGATGAACTAGAATAGAATACATAGAAATTGATAGAAGAAACATAAATTGTTTAACGCTTTTGGAAGAAAAAAAGTTTACAATATTTGGGGAACAAAAATAACAAGTAGTTTTGTTCTTAGATTGCACAGTGATTCTTGGATATTGGATGTATTTCAACGCATCCATAGTGAAGAAACCAAGTTTTTCATACCGTATGATTTGGAGATTTCCAATCAGGAGCTCAGTTACATAGTGAAAAGGTCTGAGCAGTGGAGAGGAATCAACGGTGACAGAAGGAAGGTGAGTTGGTTTGAAGTAGATTTGTTTTTTGACCGCGCAAGAGAAACTCATTCTGTTGGCATATCAGTAAGTTGTTAAATTTCCTCACATTGTTCTTGAAGCCATTTATTATTGAATTTGACTGCCACCACTATACAAATCTTGCAACTCAACTGTATATTGATTATTTTTTTATGAGTTGAAATGAGGAAACATGGCCAGGTGGTTCTTAGAGTGCCGCGATGTTATTTTCTTACAGAAATATTTATTGATACTGCTGTATATATATTGGGCCAAATTACACAAGGGTGGTGAAGAATATAAAAGAAGCGAGGGACAGACTTCCCATATGTGACATAATTGTTGGCTTCAGTGTCATCTTGGGAGAACAGGAGGAAGAGAATATTATTTCAGTTTTTCTCCTTTGATGCCTTTGTTAGTCAGTCCTCTTGATTTTCTTCCCTCTTTCAATAATCTCCTTTACAGACTTCTTCACTCCCTCCATCAGCCTCTTCTGTGGTAGTATCTCCCGGGGCTCTGTACTTGATTTATTTCTCTTCTTACTCTACACACTATCCTTTTGTTAACCCCCTTTGAAACGGATCTTCCAGCCTTTCAAACATTATTACGTGCGTATCTCAAGGCTACACCTCTCTTCTGAGTTCTAAAGTAATATAATCCAGCAACCTATTTGATATCTTCCGGTGCACACCCCAAAGACACCTAAACCCCAGTATGTTCCAAACAAAATTGACTTAACACGTATTGTTAATTGGCAAATGCATTTCACTTGTATCACAAAACCATAGCATTTACACATCCATAATGCACATGGCATTTTCATCTGTTCTGAATCCTAAAGATCGCAAACTCTGTTTTTTCTAGACTTTTGTTTCCGAGTTTTTTTTTCCAGTTTGATCATCCAGTTAGTTCTACTGATTTTACTTTCTTAATATCGACTCTTCTCTATTTCATTTGCTTCTGTGTATCTGTGACCTCGATACCCAACTTCTGAAGACCAGCAATTCTTTGCTAACTGCTTTATCTTCAGTCTCACGCTGCACTTGCCACATCACCATACCGGCCATGAATTTATTCTCTAGAACGTTTCCAAAGTGCAAATCTGACCCTGCATTTCCCTGTCATAAACCCATTGCCTGAAGAATAAAAGCCAAAATTCATACTATTGTGTTTTTGACATTTGATGTGATTCTCCAGTGATGTCTCTTGTATCCACATTCTTCCCCTCCCTTCTCAGCCATCCTCTTGCCTAATGCTTCTTACTAAAATATCATTAGCCCGTACAAAAATAAGGATAACTTGCTACATATGTTATACTCTTTTATATTACCCTCCATTCCTCTGTCTTTGCAGAAGCGTCCTCCCAGCTCCTCAGATACGATCTGGCAAACTATTTCTTCTTCCAGGCTGAGCTTGAGTGTTGCTTCTATGGGGTGTCCCCAGAGAGGACCAACTCCTTTTTGCCAAAACCTGGTTTACCTGACCCTTCTAACACATAAATTAACAATTATCTGCCTGTGTTTCCCTCTTCTTTTTTAAACTAAGATCTTCTTGTGCGATAGAGTATCTTCTCCATTTTTTGTTCTTGATCTTTAATAATGTCTGCAGAACACAGTACATTTTTGCTATCTATTCGTTTAGTACATAAATGAATGCATGCATGAATGATTGAATAATTGAACATATTTAATTTGTCCATATAATGAACATATAATCTACCTCATTCCATTCTATGTCTGATAGAAACCTAAACATTAGCTTTAAAAAAATTCCACATAGATTTACTATTAATATATGCAATATGTTTTTAATTCTGTTAAGTTGACAGATAAATATAACATTCCAGCAGACATTTTGATGACCACTGTCTCTGACTTGAAATAAAACACATTTCACTTTACCACATTCATCCTGGTTTCTTTTTCAAAAATCCTTGGCAACAGCATAATTTTTAAAAGGCCCAAATCGTTGTGGCACCCAGCTGGCTCCGTTGATAGAGCATGCAATTCTGGATCTCAGGGTTGTGAGTTTGAGCCCCACGTTGGGTGTAGAGATTACTTAAAAAATAAACAGAATTTAAAAAGGCCCAAATTGTTTAAATAATCCCAAAAGTTAAGCAAAGAGCACTTTCTTTGTAGGATAATGTCAAAGTGACTGGGGTAGGTAGAGTATATTTATTTCACTGTTTTGTTTCACAACATGGAAGTTTAGGAATTTGGAAGCAATCCAAAGTTGAGTACCAAAATGATTTCAGTTGAACAACAGGGGGAGAGGAGTGGGGATAAAAAGTGGGAGAAAAAATGAATGCTTAGGTGCTAGAAGGAAAATTAATGGAGATTGTGAAATTCCTTAATTCTTTAAAATTAATATTTATCCCCTTCTTTATAAAATGGCATAGCTGACCCATGATGGATAACCATAGAACTCAGGAAAAGAGTGGATACACTGTATACACATTGAGATGGATCAAAGAAAAGACGATTTGTTTAAATGCAGCGAAAGTAAATAATTTTATCAAAGGCATTTGTGTCTTAAGTAAAATATTTTGGCTTAGATTTTTTGGGGCCATTAACAGAAATTAATATACGCAGATAAATTGCTGTTGTCTCTTCCCCAATATGTATAGACTCAGCATCCATCAGTGATGAGATTCAGAGATGTTTATGCAAATCATCTGAAAATCTGTAGAGCACCTGTTATTTCTTGTTGGGCGGGGGGTGTTGTTTATTAAGCATACAGAAACATTCCTACACTTAAGTGAATAGACATACATATTTTATTTGTTGTGTCTCTTCATGACCTGGTATTTATACTGTGAAGACTTCCTCTTACTGATGATTAATTTTTTAATGTTCTTCTTCTTAACCTGTTTCATGTTTGTTTGTTCAGTTTATTTCAATAGGGAAGCAAGGTAGTCCTGTTGAATCATTGATGTACTAATTTCAAGATACAATGCTAGTTTAATTTAGAATCATCATCTATAATCTAAAATGCTAAATTAAGAGTGGAACAGACACTTTAATATCAAAGCATTTCAAGTAAGTAGTCTAGAATTTTTGCACTTTAAAAATTTGATCTAGATCGTTGCCACAGTAGCAGCTATTAAGCACATGCTTCTCATTTTTATGCTCTGGATTAAAAATTGCCACACAAATGGACACTTTATAATATGCTTAATTTCCTTTTATTAAATTGATAAATGCAAAAGCACAGAACACATTTACACTATGATGAGAATTTAGGATTATTGCATTTTGTAATTTTTACATTGTTCATACACGTAATTTGTCATTTGTGCAAAGACAGCCACATGATAATTTCAAAGTATTTTAACCATTCTTTTGAAAAGGAAAAGGTCACTTTCAGTAGTCAGTAAAGACATTATTCTATTAAACTAATTTGCCTACATGCAAATTTTGTCATTTTTACCTCATTAACTATTTATCATGAGTAAAAATATATATATTCATGAAGGGGCAGCTCACAGCCTGATGGAATTGGAACTAATATTTTGCAACTCTAATGATTTTTTGCATCCTTAATTAGATAGCATAAGGTTGATATGATTAGGTCAGGATGTAGTGTTTTTCATTAAAATACATTTTAGAAGCTGTATTCATAATCTGCCCTTGCAATTAAATAATGAGCCTATGAATTTAATATTATCGACCCAATTATTATCCCATGCAAACGTATACCTTTAATAAATTTGTGCCGTAGGACCTTCATTAGCAACAGAAGAAATGATATTTCTAGGTACATAGATTGAATGGCTATGGTTAAACTTATGTAATGGTTTTAAACATATCAGGAAGCAAAGCTTCAATACTTAGGAACCTAATTCCAAAGTGTGCCTTACTATTTGTCGAAGACTAATTTACATTGTAATTATTTTCTTAAAGAAACTACCACTTTAAAAGGGGCTATTGAAGCTCATAAAAATAGTGGGATGTTAGGCAGAGAAGAAGGGTTGGAGAAAGTTGTGCCTCGTGGGACAGTGGACCGTAAAGTTAGAGATCCATTCAAGTAGCATAATTGGAAAGCATAAAACCTAAAATGTCTATTTCTCACGTGTATGCCTTATCTGGGAACTACCAGATGCAATTAATGAAGATTATTATTTTTGTTGTTGTGTGTTAGAATAGTTTTTATTAATAGGTGGCCAGACAATGGAATTATATCAGCGACTCTTATCATGAATGTATACAGGGGAAACACAAGCACACATAGATACATACCCTGCTTTCTCTTCCTTGTATAGGTGTTGCTACTTATGTGCACTTGGCTAGTGACTGTAACAATGTTTGAGTTCTTGAGTTCATTCTTGATGTAATTCTGTTATGAAGGTTATATACAATCTATAATTTTTAATAAAAGGAGGCAATTAACAAAAGCTGAATTTACATTTAGTGATGAATTATACAGCAAGGTAAACCAGTGAGTAGAGGTACAGAAGCAGGAAATGCCAGGGCAAGTTTGAAGACTGAAAGCAATTTGTTTGGGCTGGAACAAAGGGCAGAGGGTGGAAGAAAGTGAAAGATCAGCCTGGAGAAGGAGTTTAGAAACTGGAAATGTGCGCAATAGTGGGGGCTATATGTTTATTATAGGCAATGGAAAGCCATTGGAAGCTTTAGTAAAAAGAGGGAACTCATTCAATTAAGAATTTGGGTTGCCTTTGCACTGAATTCTATAATTTGCTTACCTTAAAGTTCTGATATTTTAATGCACTTTGTCTAATAATACGTAGTTCAATTTTCCACCATTAAGAGTTGTTTATTCAGCGAATGTCCAAATTATCCATGGCACTTCCTAACTATTCAATTCAACTCAACCTCACAATCCCTTATAGGTTGTATTTTACATGCCACCAAGGATTCATCATCCTGATCTGCAGTGCAAGGATAGGTCTGTTTCTCAAGTGTGTGTATTGTCTGGGAACTACCAGATGGAACTATGTTTGTCGTCGTATGTTAGAATAATTTTTATTAATAGATGGTCAT